GGTAACCTGGTATTTCAAAGGTCTCACAAGAGGATTACAGGAGCTGAGATGTCAATGTTATATGCTTAGACAAATGGAAGAGGGTGTATCACCATCTGTTTGTGCTCAAAGTAACTCACAACATTTCAAATAAGTATTCATTTATTTATGGCATTTATATCTCTCCTTTCCTCTAAGGAAAGCCCAAAGTGAGGTGCATGATTCCTCCCAATTTTATTCTTACAACTACCCTGTGAAGTAGGTTAGGCTGTGAGACTGTGACTGAGTGGCCCAAAGTCACCCTGTGAAATTCATGGATGAGCTAGGATTTGAACCCTGGTTTCCCAGGTCCTAATCCATCACTGTAACCAATAAATACACCACGCTGGCTCTTAGTATAACCATTCAGAAACATTAGAAACAATAATAAATCACAGTACAGTGGTACCTCAGGTTAAGTACTTAATTCGTTCCGGAGGTCCGTTCTTATCCTGAAAGTGTTCTTAACCTGAAGCACCACTTTAGTTAATGGGGCCTCCTGCTGCCGCTGTAGCGCCAGAGCACAATTTCTGTTCTCATCCTGAAGCAAAGTTCTTAAACTGAAGCACTATTTCTGGGTTAGCAGAGTCTGTAACCTGAAGTGTATGTAACCTGAAGCGTATGGAACCTGAGGTACCACTGTATCAATGAATACCAAAAATATACATCACTCAGTAATAATAATAATAATAAATTATACCCTGCCCTCCCCAGCCAAGACCAGGCTCAGGGTGGCTAACACCAGGTAAAAACAATTGATTAAAATACAACTTAAAAACAAGATTAAGTACAACATTAAAACATTAAAATTTAGCCTTGTTGCAGTAGAAACTCAAATCAAAAACTTTTTGGGGATGAAAATGTCAAATCTTCACCAAGGCCAACTATCCAGACTGGTCCCACATGGGCCAGAAAAAAGCCAGGGAAGTCCCCAAATATGAGTTCCATCACAGAAGGAGAAAGGAAAAAGGAAAGAGGGGAGGGGGATCAAGTTGATTCCAAGCCAAATGCCAGGCGGAACAACTCTGTCTTACAGGCCCTGCGGAAAGAAATCAGATCCCGCAGGGCCCTGGTCTCATGAGACAGAGCGTTCCACCAGGCCGGAGCCAGTGTTGAAAAGGCCCTGGCTCTGGCTGAGGCTAATCTGACTTCCTTAGGGCCCAGGACCTCTAGGGTGTTGCTATTTATGGACCTTAAGGTTCTCCGTGGGGCATACCGGGAGAGGCAGTCCCATAAGTACGAGGGTCCTAGGCCATACAATATTGGGTAATAAATAAACAATAAACTAACCTACTTTAACAGCTTAAACTAAACACCATTGCATAAAACAATGCAAATAAGCTAGGTTAATTAAAGGACTGAAACTAAACATAAGAAAAAAGAATAAAAAAAGTAGGAGTGGGATATGAACATTTGGTCTGAGACTCAATCTTCAACACCCAAGGACCTCGCCCCACCTACCACCTGGGGTAATTCAGTTGCTCTTACTTTGATGGACTTTATACCCACCAATATTGTGGGTTATCGCAACACATGGCGGTCCTTCCAAACTCTCCCATCAGAGAACATATATTCACCCAAGCTGGGAGCCATTAAGCAAGGCTTTAGGGTGTAGACACCTCACTCTTCTGGGGTCCTGGCTCCCACCAAAGACCAAATCCAAAAGGAAATAAATAAACTTTTATTATAGTAGTCTAATGGTATACACTCAGGGGCTAGGAAAGAACCTAGTCTAGGTGTTCATTCAAGGCAAAGGAGCAGCAACAATGAATGTAGTCTGAGAAGACATTGCAAACCAATTATCTTATTGAGGAGTAATCATTATAGAAATGATGTAGTCATTTATATTTAAATATAAAATACTAAAAATATTTATGAGCAAAGCCTGGCAGTTCATCCCCATGGTTCTGATTAGCATTTCCTTTTATGAGTCCTTTTGGTATTTGGCAAGGTAATTGACAATAGTATGTTGACACCGTTATTTGGGAAAAATATAGAGTCAGTTATAATGAACATGAAGTCAATTTACAGAGCTTTTGTTTTTACTGCACCACACGCCTGCTTTAATTGAGCAGCTTGTATACTTCACCAATGACAATTGAAGTTTTTAAATGATATACATGACACTAATAATCTTGCCGAAAGTATTTACTTGTGATATTTCAAGTTCTGAATAATGAGTTTCTATATAACAGATGTTTGTGAAAGGATATGTTAGTCTATTGTGCAGGTCAAGACCTGCATGTCAATTTAGCAAGAACACCGTTCTAATATGGTTCATTTTAGCAGCTGGTAGGACTTTAAAATAAATTGCCACAAGACTATCCAGATGCACTTGCATGCTCGTTCGGTAACGAACATTACATCTATTAAGGTTTATTTCCAAGACAGTTACTGCATTGCCAAGAATGCTCTGAAATAAGTAAGTGACTTCACAAATAGGTAAATATTATATGGCTGCTAAAAGGGCTCAATTGCAGAAAACACGCCTCTGATTCCATGGTAAGGCTGTTAGGGCCAAATTAGATGCAATATTGAACTTGCAATATTGCATTGCTGACAGGCACATAGTAAATACTCACTGAGTAGGATTGGGGCAAGGGCAGCAGGAGAGGAGGGAACTTAAGCCTCAATCTCCCAGTTGTGATACTGGCAAAAATCACCTTCTGCACTCCAGCTGGTTCCCATCGCCTGCTGGCAAATAGAAGGGGAAGAAATGGAGGCAGTGAGAGATTTTACTTTCTTGGGCTCCATGATGACTGCAGATGGTGACAGCAGCCACAAAATTAAAAGACGCCTGCTTCTTGGGAGAAAAGCAATGACAAACCTAGACAGCATCTTAAAAAGCAGAGACATCACCTTGCCAACAAAGGTCCACATAGTTAAAGCTATGGTTTTCCCAGTAGTGATGTATGGAAGTGAGAGCTGGACCATAAGGAAAGCTGATCACGGAAGAATTGATGCTTTTGAATTCTGGTGCTGGAGGAGACTCTTGAGAGTCCCATGGACTGCAAGAAGATCAGACCTATCCATTCTGAAGGACATCAGCCCTGAGTGCTCACTGGAAGGACAGATCGTAAAGCTGAGGCTCCAATACTTTGGCCACCTCATGAGAAGAGAAGACTACCTGGAAAAGACCCTGATGTTGGGAAAGATGGAGGGCACAAGGAGAAGGGGGTGACAGAGGACGAGATGGCTGGACAGTGTTCTTGAAGCTACTAACCTGAGTTTGACCAAACTGCTGGAGGCAGTGGAAGACAGGAGTACTTGGTGTGCTCTGGTCCATGGGGTCATGAAGAGTCGGACACAACTAAACTAAACAACAACAAGCACTCCAGCTATTTGGATCCTAACCTGTCACATGTATCCATTAATTAGCCATGGAGAGCACTGAGATTTCCAGGTCCTTTACCAGAACTACTTTCACAAACCTAGACCCGCTTGTATTTTGTTACCCCACTCTCTGATTATCTCACAACCTCTGAAATGGGGGGCTGGAATTTTCTTGGCTTCTGCCTGTCAGGTTTTTGAAGCTCCCTACTGGGTTCCCATCCCAGCACCTCCAAACTCCAGGAAAGGGTCTTGCTGTGTTATAAATGTAACTTGACAGCATGGGATCCTAACTCATCATGCTAGTGGAAACTACAGCAGGGATTCCCATCAGTGCAACAGGAATTCCCCCCTCTTCTCCTCTATATCTGCTCTGGAGGGTTGGGAGAACTCCCAAGACAGATTTAGGAAGGTGCACAGAGGGAAGAGATGGGAAAATCCTTGTCTTGGTGGAACCTTAACCTTTGTGCTAGGTTGAATATAAGCTGTGGCTATGAGTGTGAGAGCATAGACTAAAGGCTTAACAATGGCAATATGCCCCCCCCCTTTACCTTTGGGTGAAACACATTTTATCACATGTGAACAAAAGCCTTTTATTCATAGACTAAACAGCAGGAAGACTTGAGAATATGTTAACTGTCAGTCTCTTCAGTTTCTTTCATGCTCCCATCAAAGGGCCCACAAAATCAAAATGTTTTAAACTCAAAGTATTTGGAGAATCCAATGACTCTGTGAATTAATCCTCCAAATTTCATGGACTCTGATCATGTGGATTTGAAAAGTATTTAATGCCTTAATTCCGATTATATTTATGTCACAGCTCTCAGTGCCTTGCCTCAATTGTCCCTTAGAAACTGATTTGGAGGTGTTAAACTAATTAATATGAAAATGCAAATCTAATTAATGCTAACCAACAATGCAAATTTAAATCTTAGTTCCAAAACCAATTTACATTAAAGATTAGTCCATTCCGAACCAGTTCTTTTGGCCCTCTGGCTTTTCTTTAAATGTAACCAAGAAACTGCACAGTCTTTTAAAGTGACTGAACAGGTCTTGTGGTGACAGGACATCAAAAATATGTTGGACCCACTCACCTTAGAAGAGAAGGTCATTATGCTTCCATTTCTCGGCCTGCATTGTGAAATATGTAGATAAATCACCATGACTCAGAGGCATATAAAAATACTACAGGTCCAAGAGGTCAAGCCAAGAATATTAAAGCAATTGAATGTGTGGCACAAGAGGAATGAATTCCAAGGCACAGTCACTGCCACTAGTAATATAACCCCATCCTTCTTGGCAAGCATGGCAGGGAAATTATTTCTGCTAATAAAAAATGCCTACTGTGATGTGTGCATTGGATTTAAATGTTTTGTGTCTTTTTGACTGACCTGGCAAATGCACATTAAAGCTCTACAATTTTCTTGTCGTGTTCTGCAAAATTATCTTAAACTGTTTCCATCCATTTTCATGAATAAAATAATTCAGTGTCCTCCCCACTTATCTAGAGAAATCTGCCAGTATTTAGTTATAGGCTCTAATCTGACTAAAAGAGAAATATTTTCCTCACAAGTCCCCCTCAGTTAATGAAGATGCCATGCCTGCACATTAATGTTCTTAAACGTATGGGTGGGGAAGGGAAAGGATAAGAGGAATAATTCAGTTGGTAGAGCATGAGACTCTTAATGTCATGCTCACGGGTTCAAGCCCTGTGTTGGGTGAAAGATTCCAGCATTGCAGGTGGTTAGACTAGATGATTCTCATGGTTCCTTCCAACTCTATGATTCTATGACATCCATGACATCTATGAATGCTCCCATTCCTTCCCCTCTGCTTTCGTCTTTTGTCAACATTCTCTATACAGGAATAGATAATGGGGGGACGAGGGTGGTGCTGTGGTCTAAACCACTGAGCCTCTTGGACTTGCTGATCAGAAGGTCAGTGTTTCAAATCCCTGTGACAGTGTGAGCTCCCATTGCTCTGTCCCAGCTCCTGCCAACCTAGAAGTTCGAAAGCACACCAGTGCAAGTAGATAAATAGGTACCACTGTGGCAGGAAGGTAAATGGCATTTCTGTGTGCTCTGGTTTCCATCACAGTGTTCCGTTGTGCCAGAAGCTACTGTTAGGTCCATCATGAGAAGTCCACCAGCTTCTAATCACAGATACCAGCAGCCTTCAAGCAAGAAAACTTGCCTTATTATTGCTCCCAGCATCCCACTGCCAGATGATTGCCTCCTTCCATTCATCACTTTGCCTCCTCCAAGTGAAAGAAACCTGGGCAGTGCTGAACGTCACATCCATTGCCTGCTGGAAATTAAAAAAAGGGCTTTCCCCTTGGTCTGCCTTTATATCCACTCAGTTGCCAAGTGCTTTGGGTGACATCACAAGAAATCCACAGCCAATGGCAACAGCTGGGGAGGCATCATCTTCATTGCTTTGAGCCTCACAAAGGCAGGTGGACCTATCAGTGATTGTGTGCTTGTTTATTCAGGAAGCAGGTGGCACTGTGGCCTAAACCACTGAGCCTCTTGGGCTTGCCAGTCGGAAGGTCGGTAGTTCGAATCCCTACAACAGGGTGAGCTCCTGTTGCTCTACCCCAGCTCCTGCCAACCTAGCAGTTTGAAAGTATGCCAGTGCAAGTAGATAAATGGGTACCGCTGCAGTGGGAAGGTAAACGGCGTTTCCATGCACTCTGATTTCCGTCACGGTGTCCCAATGCACCAGAAGCAGTTTAGTCATGCTGTCCACATGACCTGGAAAGCTGTCTGTGGACAAATGCTGGCTCCCTCGGCCTGAAAGCGAGGTGAGCGCCACAACCCCATAGTCACCTTTGACTGGATTTAACTGTCCAGGGGTCTTTTACCTTTATACAGGAATACTTTGGGATAGGGAAAGCACAGCATTTCAAAATAAATTCACATGAACTTTGGATAAAAGGTCTTATTGATCAGTCTGGTTCATCCAAGCTGATATTGTACCTAATTGGGGCGTACATCAGCTATGTGGGTGCCCAGAATAATTTATTCATGTATTTGATTTATATCCCCTCTTTCCGCCAAGGAGCTCCGTGTGGCGTACATTGTTCTACTGCATCTCATTGAATTCCCACAATAACCCCATGAGGCAGGTTAGTCTGAGAGACAGGTCTTGGCCTGTCATAAGGTCATCCAATGAGCTTCAAGACTGAGTGTGAACTTGAGCCCTGATCTCCCAAGTCCCGGTTCAAACACTCTAACCACTGCACCACAGGCTGATTTGGAGCATGAGCTCACATTCCTGAATTGGAACATGCTACCAAGAAGACATTTCAAATTGGATGAGGGAGTCCCCCACCTTCCCAACTGCCCTGTTGCCTTGGTTTTTTCCCAGTAAGTTAAACACACCTCATCCCTTCCCCTTTTATCAGAACCAAACTGAAGCTAACTGGGGAGCCACCAAGAGCTCACAAGGGAGGGCTGGGACAGTAAGGAATGAGGACCTTTTGTTTTATAGGCAGGTCTAACAATCACAATACATTGTTTTCCAATTGCACTTTAATCACAGTGATTTGGGGGAGGGTGGTTGAAATAAGCAAATATATCACTCATGATGGGGTCATACTTCTCAGAGTTTGGGATGTGAGAGCAGGGCATGAATGCCGATATTAAACTATTGGGGTGGACTGCATCTTTCTCAATATTTTCCTTAACAAACATCTTAAAGCTACCTCTCTCTCTCTCTCTCTCTCTCTCTCTCTCTCATGAATGGTGTTTCCATGAAAAAGAAATGGTAGGAAGAAAAAATGGATTTTTCCATATTTGTAAGTCTTCATCTACTCTTGGAGGAGCTCCCTTGGCCTGCAAATTTTATCCACTTATGTGAAAATGAAATAAAGTTTGTTGATTCCCTGTTATAGTTAAGGGGAACAAAACAGAGCTTCAGATTTAAATGATCAGATTTAGACTTAAATAATGAATTCCCACCATTCCCTGGGAAGAGAGATTGCTAAACAACACTGGGAATTTCAGGTCTGTGTGGGGAAAAGGGGTTCCTAACTCTCAGCACCCTTACCAAATAATATTCCCAAAACACTTTGGGGTGAATCATGACTTCTTAAAGTGGTACATTGCTACTTTAAATAAATACTGCATAAGGAGCCTAAATTTATCAGGCTCCTTAGTATCTAGGATGGTACTTGATGGTGCTGAGGGTAACAGAAAGAAAGACATATCTTTCTGGATTAAGATTCAGCCTAGAGGAGAACTTCAAAAGAAACTTTGCTCACTTTGTAATAATGCTTTGTGTGAGCATTCTGAGCCGGACAAGTTCATATTCTGAAATAAATCATTTTGAACTTTGTTACCACCTCTACTAATGAGCAGTTACTCTCCTTTTGGCTCATTCTAGCAATGAGCCAAATGCATTATAATTAGCCAATGCTAGCAATTAGTCGTTAATCACATTTGTTGAAACCTTCTATTAGGACTAAGACTGTGCTATTCACATTGCTGTACATTCCCATGAAATGCCACCTCAAGCCTCCATATTCAACACTGAGAAAGCTGTTATGCTTAATTGTAGTATATGTGCTTTTTGACCACTGTGCTGTGAAATATGCAAATTAATGAAAACTAAAGAATTGCTGAGCTTGGAAACAAAATAACACACCTAATCATCTTTAGATACTTCTGAATGGCTTCCGCGGTACTTGCAGCTTGCTTTATACCTCTCAGGAAGGTTAAAAGTTTAAACTTAAACATTTTATACCTTCCAAATTGCCAAAACAACTGCACAGCTGGGTTAAATTACGGTCACATTAATTGATTTGTAATGATAGTAATAGAAAATACACCATTAGTCTATTTAACTTCTGTGCTTTAGAGAGTAAAGAGAGAAGCTGGTTTTATTCCTACTTCGGAAGGGACAATTTACCATCTCTATATGGGCACATAAGTAGTTTAATGCTTTTCTGGAGTTCTTTAGTATCTTCAGTAAGCATAAAAGGATGGCTTGAAATCCTTCTCCACTGTATCATTTTTGGAGAGCGAATAATAAAAAAGAGAGCTGGCCTTAGATTTGTAGACATTCTGGTGTTTAAATTATCTGTCTTCATTGAAAAGCATGAGGTCTGAAAAGAAAGTGAAAAATAAAAATTCAATAAAAATGTTTTGTAAGAGACACTGAAAAATACCGCTGCCCTCTAATCTTCACCAGTGTGTGTGCACGCATTTGTTTCCAATTTATCTGACGAGAGAGAGAGAGAAATCTGAGAAGTTTCACTGTACAGTGGTAAAAAAATCCAAAATGAAGTTCAGAATGTTAATAAAAGTCATATCTACACTAGGACACAAGGGTGCATTTTTACATCGGGAAGAGTTTAATGGGATTTTGAAGGAGAGTTTTTAATATATATCTGTATCTAAAGAGAGATAAAATGTTGATGGGAAGATGGGAAAGGAACATTGCTTTATTTCCAGCATGAAGGTCTGCATTTGGGGCACTTAGGGTGAAGGACGTAAGGTACCCCCTAAAACAGGATCCTGATTGCAGTTCTCAAGCTGCACACTCTGTTGATTCTAAAGGATACATGCAAGAGAACTCTGTCTCTTTCTCTTTCTCCATGTGTGTGTGTGTTTGTGTGTGTTTGGAGAATGTCCCCACTGTTATTTCCACATCAAACCATCCTGTACTTTTGGGTGTGCTGTGATGGATTTATAGGTGTGTACACTATGCTTAGTGGGATGCGGGTGGCGCTGTGGGTTAAACCACAGAGCCTAGGACTTGCTGATCATAAGGTCGGCGGTTTGAATCCCCGCAACGGGGTGAGCTCCTGTTGCTCGGTCCCTGCTCCTGCCAACCTAGCAGTTCAAAAGCACATCAAAGTGCAAGTAGATAAATAGGTACCGCTCTGGCAGGAAGGTAAACGGCATTTCCGTGTGCTGCTCTGGTTCGCCAGAAGCGGCTTAGTCATGCTGGCCACATGATCTGGAAGCTGTACGCCAGCTCCCTCGGCAAATAAAGCAAGATGAGCGCCGCAACCCCAGAGTCGGTCACGACTGGACCTAATGGCCAGGGGTCCCTTTACCTTTACCTTTACACTATGCTCAAGGGACGCGGGTGGCACTGTGGTCTAAACCACTGAGCCTCTTGGGCTTGCTGATCGGAAGGTTGGCGGTTCGTATCCCCGCAACGGGGTGAGCTCCCATTGCTCAGTCCCAGCTCCTGCCAACCTAGCAGTTCAAAAGCACGCCAAAAAGTGCAAGTAGATAAATAGGTACCGCTCTGGCGGGAAGGTAAATGGTGTTTCTGTGTGCTGCTCTGGTTTTGCCAGAAGTGGCTTAGTCCTGCTGGCCACATGACCCGGAAAAACTGTCTGTGGACAAATGTCGGCTCCCTCGGCCTGTAAAGCAAGATGAGCGCCGCAACCCCAGAGTCGTTCGCGACTGGACTTAACGGTCAGGGGTCCTTTACCTTTACCTTTTTACACTATGTTCAGAGTTAGAGCTCTCTGTGTCTGAGGGTCCCCCAATTTATTGCTAGACATGTTTACCAGAGAGGATATCTTTGAAACATGGCTACAAATAAAGAATTGCCATTGTTGAATTCTGGGATTTTAGTGTGTTGTGTTTGCACTCTTCATTTCTCCTAGTCCTCAAAGTCAGTAGAGGATGGTCCATTAGGCTGGGCTCACCAACTTGGTGCCCATGTTAGACCTTCATTGGCACCCCAGATAGAGCCATCA